CGGTATTTATATGGGCATTATTTATTGGTCGTTTAGTCATTATTATATCTTTTTGAAAAGAGTTTTTTCCGTTTGGTATACCTAGGCAAAGAAAAGAACACTGAACACCACAAAGTCATTTTCTCATTCAAGACTTCCGATCCGATCCGGATACGTTATAGTTATTCATTGAAATCTTTGGTATAGTTCTGAACGAATCAATGTGAGCAAACTGTTTTGTAGATAATAAATGTGAGGGATTAATCGACTGACATCTATAAGATTATTGAAATAGTTTATTTACGTTCTTCAAGGCTACGTATGCTCACATATTTTCCGTTTGTATCTTGGGAGATACTTCAACATTATGGGGCAGGTCATCTATCACTTGTTGTAACTTTAAAGTATTTTGGTATTGTTTTTATTAAACTTATACATATAGTTGAGTATATTGAGACAAAATAAATTTTTATCTGACGTCTTCTACGGTTGAGGCCGTAAACCAGTAGTTATGTAGGTACCTACTGTAGAACTTGTCATTAAAGTGACTTAACTATCAATAAATGTTATGTTTATAGGTAGGTATCTACTTATTTTATAAAGTTGTAGTTATAAGTTTTATAAGCGTAGACAGCAATGTATTTATTTTGAAATCCGTTTCGCGGTCTTATGTCGCAGCCACTGTCGTGTGCCAGGATGTAGAGTCGGATCTCAGAGCCTGTCACTTCTCCAAGGTTCTCGTCATCCGACGATCCTGCCTTTCTAAAATAATGCTTATTTAGTCACCCGGGAGACTGTGGTCACGACTGCTTTACAAACAATTTGGTTGTAACTCAACAGTTTACGTATTGTTAGATCACGCTACCCGATAGCTCTACACAATGCACTTATTTGAGAACATTCAAATGTACGAATACATTCATACCTATTTGTACTATACATTGTTAAATTTGTTTCATTTATTATAGCATATATTCAAAAACTTATAGTTACAGTCAATAACGATTCGTGATTTAACAATTTGAACTTCAAACTTTTTTAATTGCCTGCATTTGCAACTAAATACAAATGAGAATTAAATTGCATCAAACTAATTAAAAGAATTAAAATACGAGGCTACAAGAAGTAGCGAGGATTAAGTATGTATGTTGTGAAAAAAACAAAGCGTCGGGAAAGGTAAAGGCGATCCCAAGGCTAACCTTAGTCGGTCAGATCGAAGTAAGAACTTAATATGCCTTTTTAGGCTAGCACTTCATACGCCTCACATACTCGTTAAGAAATCTAATGAATAAAGCAACTAGTTTATTAAGTGGACATCAGTATTAACTTAGTGGCAGACACGTAATAATAACTAAATATTAAATAATATACCTTCTTCCTTAATTTTCGTGTAAGGAAACACGATGACATACCTTCTACGTTTTTTCATTTGCATTCAGATCAGATTTACATCATTACGAAACATAAATATAAACTTTTCTTTGCAAATGTATATTTATTTCATCGTAACATTCATATATTTCAAATTATATGTAAGAATTATTAATCAACCACTAGAAATGTACTGTATTGATTACCTCAATTAACATTGACATATCGAGCGGAAAGCTATGGTAATCGGAGCTCAGCATAAATGCAGCGATTGGTTGCGCCTGGTACAGTCACGGATGCGGCTCCGTTGATGGAATTTGTTTATTACAGAGATATTTTGTAATCGTGAGATGAGTTTCAATAGTGGTTTTAATACACTTACTAAATTACGTGCATGAACTTGTCAGTACCAATACTCAAGTTCTAGGGTTCCTAGAGCGACTTGCATATTAATTGAGGTTATCAGGGCAAAAGTAGTGTAGCTCACATAATTTTTTTTCTACAGTATTATTTAAATGATAATAAAGTACATAAGTAATTATTTTCTATACTTTCATGTATAAAAATGATAATAAATATTTTTTTATATATGAAAATACCATCAAAATATAAAATAAAAAATATTGTCCAAAAAAATGTGTGTTTTTTGGACAATATTTTTTATTTTATATTTTGATGGTATTTTCATATATAAAAAAATATTTATTATCATTTTTATACATGAAAGTATAGAAAATAATTACTTATGTACTTTTACGCTGATAACCTCAATTATGGTATAGGATTTTCTACTTTAGGAACAGGTATTGATGTTACATAAAATTTATCGTGAAAATTCTAAAACTAAACGGACGAAAGCACTTTTATAATTTTGAGGAGTGACATTAACAACTTGGCAAATAAATAGAACATAAATCAAACTCTTGCGCTAACAAGTCTATCACGTTGTATTGAATGGTTTTACCAACGTCGTACCACAGAATGGTAAATAACTTAGTGCTAGTTGCAAGTGTTTTATAGGTAATTTATTTTTTCATTCACAGGTACAATTAATATATAGGTATACTAATAGCAAATTAATAATTCATAATTAGTTTTTCGTTGATTGAAGCCGTAAAATATAAAATTCTGTGTAACATTTCCTCCGTAGCCGAACGGTTACCATGCCACGACTGCCACGCAGAAGTCTCAGGTTCGATTCCCGGGCCGGGAGAAATATTTGTATAGACTACGTTTATTTTTCTCGTGAGTTTGGGTGTAATTTTTTGTTGTCTATGTGTGTGTTCATGGCACCCGCGACACAAGGTTTCCATAGTGCGGGGCTATGTTGAGTATGTGCTTTATTTATTTATTTTATATTTAGTTCCGGATTTTTTGACGTTAATTTACTACATGTAGTTAATGGTCATGGTCGTACAAGAAAAGCGTCGTGTAGTCTACTCTTGCAATTGCAATTTGCGAGCTAAACCTCGTCGTTAGGTAGACAGGTTCAGTTTTTGTTGTACCTAGGCAATACCCGCATATGTCGAGAGCATCGCCATGAGTATTTCCAACGAAAAGCTGACAAGACAGGAAGATCATAGGTGGCTTACTTTTACACACAGTATTTTTTTAATATTTAACTGCGGCATTACTCACCAGGTGGACCAAATGCCAATTTGCCACATAGCTACCTAAGCTACAATAAAAAATGGTAGACAACGCTTTCATTGCTCACCCTCTCTCTTATCGAGCGTGTTGATTCGGGGAAATTCTTTCTTTCTGTACATTTCTCCAAAAAAGAATCATGCTTGTGTTGTAGTGAAATATGTAGTTTGTTGAAAATTTCTGTTTTCTTTTAATATGTTTACATCTTTTGTTTACATAGGTAACATGTATGGTGTAATAAATGAGTTCACAACATGTGGATGGTTTTGAAAGAATGCAAATTTTTGTTCTCTAGACCTCTCCACAAAAGAAAAACACACCTGTGCAATTAGTAATTATTGCCTATGGCCTGAGGTGAAGAAGGTAATAAATCATACGCACGCAACTATATTGACAAAGCAATAGACGGACACTAAGGCATTTTGTAAACGGAGACAAAAACACTAACAGCAAATGATGAATGTAACCTACCTACAATTTCCGACATGAGATATTTTATATCTTAAATCGGTTAAATGGAACGTTGAGTTTCGTAATCTTTAGTACATAGGCATTAAGATTTATAGCGCCTTAGTAGAACTTAGAAACAAATTAGGCCGTGAAAGTAGATCGTAATAGGAGGCGATATTAATAGTTTTATTGCCACATTATTTAAGAGACCTCGATCTAAATAGATCATTAGTTATTTACATGCCTGGTCAAACATAACGATTTCTTGAGCAATTATTATGAAATTGATGATGCTCGGAGATGTCGACGGACGTAACTCGCTGGCAGGTGCTGAGTAGCCGTTGATGTTACATATAGATGTTGATAAGACGGCTTCCACATAACTTTACGTAACGAAATGAAAATTGTAACAAATATGTACATAAAGAATATCCAAGTTATTACAGTTTCGTAAGTTGTTATATGTAAAGTAACTACGAGATGCTTCAAATGTCTTGTAATGATATGACTGACTCTATTGGCTACCTACTGTTTATATTAAATCTGCCTACTAATTTCTTCAACGCTTAAAAAACGCAAATGTTTGAAATACATAGGTGCTTGTAAAGTTTTAGTAGCAGTAGAGGTCCTTGTGAGAGTTCGCCCAGGGAAGTACTGCCACCTTACCTATTTCTGCCGCCAAGCAGTAATGTGAGCATTACTGTGTTCTGGTTTTGAAGGGTGCTGGTGAAATTACAGGCACTTGGGACTTGTCAACGTCACAAGGCGATGGGCGCATTGGGAGTGTGTCTCAGATCTTTTCGATTTAAATCTGTGAGTGGCACTGCAATTGTTATGGACAGACGTGTAGCTTACCATCAGGCGCACGACTTGTTCGTCCCGTCACTTAAATTATTATTAAAAAAAAAAGTTATCTAAGAACATGGAAGATCCATATCTAGAGTGTTCCCTGATGAGAATTCCAAAACAATAGATTTCATTATGGCTCCGTACATTTCAATCTATCAGCACATTTTAAATGATGTTTTAATAGTACCAAAACGGCTCTAAATGATTTCTCACACTCATTTAAGTTAAATATACTATTAATGTAATGGACCGCGTGCAGTCGTGATGGTATCACGGCTTTGTTGAATTCAAGGTGACGATAATTCATTACTTTATTAATATATGACGATTTCGAAGGCTGTTAAACAATATGGTTCGTTAACTTTGCTATCTGGTCCAATAATAATTAACGCTTTTATAACTTGCGGTCACGCGTTATTGTTTCACAAACATAATAGGTAATGCTTTTAAATCGTGCCCTCAAACTTAATAACGGTTATTTACATTAATCAGATCTGTATTTTTTTATTATCCGAACCCAAAATTACAAGCACTTTGATTAATTGTGATCCTTGATAGGCATTGCCAATTTTGTTTATTTAAATAATACTCGACGGAATTTTTGGGATAACTTTGCATTAATTTTTCTGAACATAAATATTGTGTAAGTATAACATGCACTTTGCAAACTAATGAAAATAATGTTTTTATTCTCTTTGCTTCAGTTATACCGACAATGGTGACAGCCATTACAATTTCATCAAATGGTAACAGTCCTGAAGTTAAAATGTTGGGTGGGATGATGGTCGACGTACATAAAGGATTCGTCCCCATGGCATTAAAACAAGAAACCACCACGAACGTTGTGACGACTAATAAGAGTAATTATGACAAGAGCAAGACATTGGCTAATTCCACCAAACTCTCAATTAATGAGAGGTATAGAAGGTTGATTCCATATATGACTTTCTACTACGCGAATGACATACCGACTACAGAAGCATATAGCTCTAAGAGCATCGAGGTTGAAAAAGTTGAGCTTGTCGAAGCTAAAACTATACAATCAAACCATCGGCAACCACATAAAATTGTTTATGCTCCTCAACGAAACATACCTAGATATCAAGGAAATAGATTAACTCACTTCAATATAGCATCGGCAAATCCTACTAAAGTGTATTATAAAAATGATGTGCCTGTTTATCAGACTGCTGTTAAAATTACCCCGAGCTACAATCCCTTGGTCCGAGAAAGCTTACCAAATCATGATCATCTCAGATTTGTCCAGAAACAGGTTCTTAATGCACCTAGTGCTCCCTTTGCAACTAGGAAACCTTACTTGAATCTGTATAGCAATGACGATGGCAATTTTCAATATTACTTAGGTGAGAAAAATCACGTTCCTAAATTCAAATTAGTACCGTATGAGCAGACTCCTGTCAAAATCGTACCACAAGCCGAGGTTTATGAACCAACGAAACCCTTGACTGTTCCAGTGCTAATACCAAAAGAACCTGTTTTTATAAAAACGAAACCAGTCAGACCGCAATACGTGTACGATAATATAAACGTTCAACAAACTGTGCCAAGAAAGCAGCCTGTTGTGGTTTCTGAGAACTACTACGAGAAAAGGCGTCCTGCTTCAGCATTTGTTCAACCTATAGCTCAGCCAATGGTTGAAAGCGGTTTTAAGCCTATCGTCAGTCCTGTTATGTCTACAGAGTCTACCATTTATACTACGTTACCCACTACTATTCCTCAGTTTGTAAGTGAAAAGCCTAATGTTCAAATAGGAGAACCAATTGCTCCAGAAAGAAATTTTAGACCAAACTATTATCAATACGTTGTCGAGCAACCTGTATACAAAACAGAACAATATGTTGAGCCAGTGCCTGCTAAAGCGACAGTTAGTTTGGGTGATCTTCTTAACTCTTTGCAACTTAACAAGTCCATACCAAAGCCGATTACACAAGAAAATGTAGGTTCATCAATAAGAACATTGTTGCAAGTTTTAAATGCTTTAAAAGCTATGAATAGTCAAAACGATGTCGAAAGTCCATTGTTGAGTACGCCGAAGCCCTTCATAGCTCCCGAAGAGATAGAGGAAATGTCACCGAAACCCATAATAGAAGGAACACCTACACCAGTTTCACTGTCGCCTATTCCTTATGGAGATCTTCAAAACGAACCACATCTTGCACAAGTGAATACGCCATCTCAGCATTTAGATGGTAAGTAAAATTTAACGAATTTTTATGTTGTTTTTATTTTTATGGTTTTTGAATTAGGTATACAATATCAGTACATAATTGTCTTATGAATTGCACTTGTACTCTCCAAATTATGTAACAAGTTATATATGGAGTTGTAGCAGCACCTGTGATTTGATTATAGACCTTACTTTGAATACTTTCTGTAATAAATGGCTGACAGCTAACGTAAAGCTTAAACCCGCTCTTTGATTTTACTAATAACAATGTACAGTAAGGATTAAAAATGAGAAACTAACTTTCCTTTGCGAAATTAAAAACAAACTGTTATTTGCAATTAGTTACATACGTCGTATAGGTATTTATGTACCTATTTTGAGGTAATCACAATATGAGGTTCTAGTCTGTAGGAGCATGAGGAAACGGCCCTAAATTTGAGGTAATCTCACAGTTCGCTGAAATACTATTTATTTATTTAGTAATTTTTTCAGGCTACAAAAATGATTAAAGAAATGAAAAATGATCTTTCGTACTAAATTTACTATTTTACTATACTATTTTGCCTGACTTTAATATAAAAGAGGACAAAGTTATGAATTTCAGCGATTGTCTGCACATACTTACCTACTTATATATTTTTAAATTGTTTCAGAGAGTTTTCCAAGTGGCGGAGGTAGTACGAGCCAGCGGTTTCCTCTCCCGGTGACGTCCGACGACGAAGGGGGCACCCCTGGTCGGCCCGGTATGGACTACCCGGTGCTAACTTCCATTCCCAGTACCAGTTTCGACTGTAAGACCCAGCGTTATAAGGGTTTCTTTGCCGACCCTGAAACTAGGTGTCAGGTAAGACATGTCTCATATTTCGCACATAAAAATGCTCTGTACATTGCTTGCATTGTCGGTTCTGTATAGCGTAACCTAATATTGTGTTAAGTTTAGGTACAATCTAAATTTTATTTTGTAGTTTTCTCTTTTCAAATCAGTTTTTTTTTAATGTATATGTGTGAATTTAAATACTTATACCGCATAAAGCCTGCCTAAGAAACAGGGATTTAGTTCAGTTGGACATACTAAATCATATATTAGACTTATTGAAGATTCATATGTTCCTTCCAGGTATGGCATTATTGCGATCTCAATGGCGGCCAAGCTTCCTTTCTATGCCCCAACGGCACCATTTTCTCTCAAGCAGGACTAACTTGCGACTGGTGGTTCAACGTCCGCTGCGCTTCCACTACTCAGCTGTACGTTCTCAATGAGAGCCTTTACAAGTACATCTTGCCACATTCACCCAAGTTCCCCGAGGATTATAGTGGACCGCTCGTCGACAAGTAAGTATCTACGAGTACTTTCACTTCTTCGGGAATTAAATAATTTATATTGGAGGCTAAAGCAACAGAGTGCGAGATGATTATATCATCAGAATAATAATATTAAATTCTTTAAACTCATATCTATAAAATGACGTCATCTTAAAAAACAATTACTTGTACTAGGTACTACAAACAATTTGTACATTCTCCTAGCGACGTTTAACACTTACACGCTTCATAAAACAAATATAAATGCATAAAATAGGCGAAGGTAGAGATTGATAGTGCGATGCAAATCATAAATGATGATGAGCATCAAAAACCAACCATCAAATCTGTCAGGTACGAAACATTACCCTTGGCAATAATTTACCGTTCTGTCAGTCTTCAATTTTTTTCGCAACATATAATTGAATTATTAATAACAAAAACATAATAAATGTAATGAATTTATTAAAGTAATTCGAAGAAAATGAATACCTACTTTAGGTACATTTCCAACCGAGTTCCTAAATATTATACTTATATATCCAGTAATAATACCTGGTAATGTTGTGTAACCTTATAATGTGTATATTAATCAAACAAACGTAACTGAAATTTTTTTAAGAGCAAGTTTAATCAACCCACAACTTTTACACTCTTTAACTCTAAAAAAAGAAATGGTTTTTCCATATAATATCTACATGTATATAATAGTTAATTTATTTGAAGGAAGTCCCTTCCAAGCCGTTCCCTTGCAATATGGCTGAAATAAATAAAACTAACTTTGACTTCCTAACTTTAAGTAAGAAATTACGAAGTAAACTCTAAGTTTTACTTAATTTGTAATTAAAGTAAAAAAATTGTAAATACGAAAAATTTGCTTTGCTCTTTATTTTTGCTTAGCCAAAGTTCGTTTTATAAATCTCAGTCTAAAACAATTGTATACACCTGACAAATAAAACTTCTAATATTTATTTTGCGTGTGATATTACAGGTACCTCACGCTGAAATTTAAAGAAATGGAGGAGCAGTTCAAGAAGAACAAGAATAAACAAAAAGCGGCTGATAAGTCAGATTCTGACGAAAAAGATGAATCCAATGAAGACTCCAACGAAAAACAGTCAGATGCGACAGAGAAACAAGTAGATAGTGAAAACAGTGAAGTGGCCACGGTTAGTGAAGCCAGTGTTATAGTACAATCACCAGGTACAAGTGGCAATGTGGAGAGACTCCAAGATGAATAAAATCCAATACAGATACCTATCCTTGAAATTTGCAGCATATAAAATGGGATACTGAACCAAATTGGATCTTAGATTAAAGAATTGATTTTAACTTATTGATAAGGAAGGACGTAAACTGTGATAGTTTGAATTCCACGTAAGCGGAATACTGTTTGGTGAAAACTGACCATAGGTTAGACTACACGAATAAGTACTTAATTTTAACTTGAAATTGCAATGGACATGTGTCTAGAAGTTTAGTAACGCAAGAGCTAGAATATGAAAGTTGACACTGCCATTTTAATTAATAATTTTATTCTCATATGTTTGTAAGTAAAACGTACTTAAAATTATTGCACTTAATGTGCGGAGGTTTTTAACAGGAAAATTCCAATTAAAAATCGCCAAATTTGATTTCCTATTATAATAATTGCTATTTTTTGTTAATATATAGGTACCACTTTATGTTTAATATCAAAAGTAGAGAATTAAACTTGCCATATTTCGCCATGTTTAATTCATTGTTAGGCATATAGAATACTTGTGACGTTAGCGCGTTATTATTTTATTGAATTATTGTGGAATTATTCGATATTTTTTGGCTTTGAGTCAAGTTACTTTATAGTTGTTTAGATCATAGAATACTCATAGTGATATATTGTGCAATTTGTAAATACGTCGTTCTGCCATTAGATCATCAACATAAATGCATGTGCAATAAATTATTTATTTTTTTATAATTGGTTTTAATTAAGAAGAAACAATTAGTTCCATTTATTTAATGAATTTATTTACAAAGTTAAGATTTATGTAATAATAGTAATTAACAACTATGTGATACGGTTCACTTCGTTTTGCATTGATACAAGCAGCTATTATAACGAAAAATAAACTATAATACGTAAAAATTAAGTATAAAACACAAATATAATTCGGTAAATTAAAAGTTGATTGAGTATTAAATATGACTAGCTTCATGTCCAAATCTTTTCTTTGCTTTATATTATTTAATTCTACATTCTTAGATTGGGACTTAAAACATGAAATATAGTGATTAAATAGTTCTTACGTAATCTACGATTATATGGATGAGAATCACGAAATTCTAAACACAAATTTGCATTTTCTTATAATATCGCCTACGCACCCGGATCTATATACGTCTAATTTACCTTTAAATAACAATGTAATCGGAAATACCTATACAAAAATATAATTTTAGAATGAAGTTTCTTAAGATGTAGAAGATGAAGTGATTCTTAAACTAAGAGTATGTAAGTAATCCAGCCATTTTCGTAATTTTGAACACGCATTTCCAAAATTGATAACCATGACAACTAACTAAAACCTCAGAGTAACTAATATATTTCGTATTAGTTATTATGAGCTAATACTTAAATACTATTTGCCTACGTTTATTTACATAAGACCACGTCTCCATATCAGCGATCACAAGTTGTTTCCACTTCAGTCTTCAATCGTTCCCCGAACAAATTTATCTAGTCACATTTAATTAAATTAATGCGTCTAATACACGTGTATGTGATATTAAATATGTTTCAGACGCGCATACATGTACCTAGCCTAACACTTAGATTTACTACGGTAACTTTTGAGATGAAGCAAAATGAAAAGAATATTTACTAATCAAAATAGATTGGAAGCAGTACAAATATGTGCGAGCTTAAAAAGATAAAGAGCAACGAATTAATAACAGAAAGTATAACAAATCAGTAAAGTCCTTTTACAGTACATATTGTATAACTATCTCTACAGCATACCACTAAATTCGCCTTAAATTACCCTGTTAGTGAGAACATAAACGCTTATCCACTTACCTAAAATGAGATGATGCACGGAATCGTGCGGTAAATAGCTTAAATTTAAATGCAGAATGCACATCGAGAATGTCAATCTAAGATTACATCAGTAAGGTAAATACGGCGGTCGTTCGAATCCAGTGCAAGATGTAGAGGTCGGGTGGCGCTGCTGATGCCGGGCGCAGAGTCTGGGGCGTTTAATGCTTGAGCAGCAGCGCGGCGTGCTTGAGTCGCAGGTGCGAGCGCAGCGTGTCAATGCGGCTGTAGGTGGCGGGGCAGTAGGGACACAGGCTGCGCTGCGCCGTGTGCGAGTGGAAGTGGTGCCAGCGGTTGGAGACTTCCTTGCCGCACGACTTGCAGCGCCACAGCGCCGCACTCTCGGTGGCCGCCACGAACATGCTGTGGTACGAGTACTGCGGCGGCGCGGGCAGGTGCGCGCGCTCTGCAACAACGCGCGCCCTCAGCCAGCTACCAATGCGGCACCGCCAATCGCCTGTTCCCGCGCCGTACACATTATACACATTCGCCGTGCCTTCTGCTTACGTGATCGTGAGGCCACCTCGCTTTCGACGGGAGTCGAACCCGATTGCTGGGCAGCACGTGGCCGACGGCAGTAGCCAAGCGGCGGGAGCGACATGACACACAGGCTGACATCGGATCGTGCATTCGATGCGTTAAGGACATTGCGGGTGGGATGGGAGTGATACAAACGACTGAAACTACACGGATTGTAACATACCACAATTTAATGTAAAAATTAGTAATAAATACAACAGATAAATGCAGGAGTTTGCAACATGTTAAAATTGCATTACATAACATCAAACAATGTGAAAAAAATAATTTGCATTAACTGCTTGCATAAAACAAAATTATTTAAATTAAACGTTTAACGGAGGCATCAAACCAAGACATCAAACAAAGTATTATAAACAACAAATAGTTCATAAAATTTCATGTAAAAATATAACAAGACTGATTGTCAGCTGTTAGGTACACGATTTGACACCCCCTCCCTATTAGGTAATTATTTATTACACTATTGTGATATACGACACTATAACAAATTTGCTAATGTTACAAGTACAAACAAAAATAACTATTAGACCATTGCTATCCTGAAAATAACCACAGAGCTCGTCCTGCACTCCATTGATTTAAAATGATAAAGATCACATCATTGTGATATAAGTGTAAATTTTATAATACAATAATTGGAATATTCAATTAGATTGGCCAAATAAGTGACTAGGTCCACAAGACCTCAATTTCATAAGACTAAATTTAGTAATTCGTTAACCTTATGTATAAATTCCATATGGCATAAAGTTAGCTTTCATTAAGTCCAATTACGTGGTCACTATAATTCATTAAGTTGCTCACTTTCTGAAAGCTGAAAAGAGATCAAAGGGAGATATTTTCTGAGCCAAACGATGTGATACTCCAAAATTTTCTGGCCAGACACTATCATAGTATCCTAACCTAAAATATCTAAAATAATATTCTATGTTACTAATCAATCGATTTGCTAAACAGCAAATGTAATATTTAAAATTGGTCTCGAGTGATAGTAATATACAAATGCATTCACGATTAGACGAAGCGTTAGGAAACGGACGACCGAGCGTTGCCCGCGCGAGGCCCGAGGCTGACGCCAGCGCTTAGACGACTCGCCGGGCGAGGGCCCGCGCCCGCCGGATAGCTATGATCTACTTCAACAATAGACGACAACTGCGCGCAATAAATTAATAAACAGTACACAACTATTACGATTGGCAGAGGTAAACAAGCTAATCTTAATATTACCAGCTATAAAACCTGTACATCACCGTAACCCAAACTGCGTTTCACTAGGTAGAAATAGAAATTAGGAGTAGTTCACTTATGTAAATACAAATAGGTAGTTACTCTCTTTCAAAGACATTATTATATACTTTTAAAATATCCTTTAGTTTGGTTACGTAATTAAATAACTAGTAATATTGCACTGAGTATGAAATGCTATCAAATAATAAGCGCCCACGTTATACGAACGGTAAGTATAAAATCTTTTAATACCTTAAAGTAAATATATTATATCTTTGTGGAAGAAATGTTTGGTGACACTGTACAAATGCGAGGGGACGCCGAAGCTTAGTGCTTATTTATATGTTCCAAGTGGGCCCCTATATCCAATAGACAATTGTATAATCTAGCTATGAGTATGACTATTTTTAAAAAATTGCACAAGTGAAATGTATGTTCACAGCTACTAAACAGCACTAACGCCATTATAAATTATGGAGACGATCACGGATCGCTATTCTGGAAGCGGTAGTCCCTAATACCATTAGGCTTATTATTTATTTGGTAGACAATGATCAGATTTATATAAACGGTGTCTTATCATTCTACGTACATTAGTAAATTTTAAGATCTGGAAAAAGTAATATCTCGCGAGTGATACTGTAATCTCTATGCGTGACGATCATGTATGATACCCGTTGACCAGACTGATGCGACCTCTGATGCTAGATGCCTTACGATAATGTAAATTAACTAATCATAAACATGTTAATAATATTACATTAGGAGTCGAATCGTGGCGTGTTAACACTCTTGGTTCTAGCACCTTTCCATTTTATCACATACTGTTACCGTACCACTCTAAATGTTTAGCTAAAATGTAACAATCTTAATTCTTAATTGAAAATACATACATATACGCTAGGTTAGTCCCAATCGTAGAATGCCAATATTAGTTACTAAATGCGCAACCTCGAAACGTTCTTTCATATCTTAAAATAATGAAAGAGGTCATAGACCCCAAGCACCGATCACACGAGGGCTGCACACGCACCATTCTTGCCACGAGGGCGACACCGCGACGTTACGTGCCCGTTACGACAACTAAACACCTACCAACGATAAAATAATAAAACTTGTTAACATCTCAAGAAATATTACTCCCGACTGACAACTGAATATAAACCAAATCAATGTTACTACAAGACGAATCAATAATAAAAACAAACAACACTAATAAATCATATATAGTTATATAAATATAAAAGTATAGTAAATCAGACAATAGAATATATCTAAGTATAAAAAAACAATCTCCGTAAATAGATCAACTAGTCTAGTATAAAAATCTTTTCGTATGTTTCCTTAGGCGCTATCCGTTAATACATCACAAATCCTTAACAAATTATCCATCTTGCAAAGGCCTCATGGAGTAACAAATGCATCTACTCTGAGATTCAGTCAATATTTATATGTCGTTGACCAACGACAGATCACAATCTCTCAATGTCCAGTCTAGATTCCGTTCTGATGTAGTTTCGCCCACCCAAAAGATGTAATAACATAAATACAATTAGCTACAGGAAACTCATAATTTCCTATCTAATGAATAAATATAACAAGAAGTGTTGACCCGCTTTGGGCCAGTTAATAGCCAGCATCACTTCGCGGTCGCACCGCTACTCAATATAAGTATATTCTTAATAGCTTAAGATCCTACCGATACAATATAAAAAATAATATGGTAATAATAAAATTAACATCATATTATTGCTTTTGCCCGTTCCCGTACAGCGATTGGTATAGAAAAAAATTTGCTTACTCACTATATACGCTTCGAGTCATTATTTTAGTAACATCGACATTATAGGTTCATTCCTTACGCGGAAATCTTAAACAAGGTCACACTGGGGCAAGTCAAATGCACAACCGAGACAATACTAACGAGTCTCTCATCAAGAGCGAGAAGAACTCAATTCTAAGGCCCGCTTAAGTAGTAGCACTCAGCTTAATCCTAAGTAGGAAGTGTTTCGACGCGAGACGGTCCGTTAAAATTTTGACACATCAACAAAGAGAGTCCGTGCTGGCCGAGGCGAGAGCTCACAGAGCGTCGAAGCCGAGCCAGTACATGGACAATCAGTCGAAGCCCGCGTCCAGGTGGTTGGCGAACATCGGCGCGTGCTGGTGCGGTGGCAGCGGCGCGGGCGCGGGCGGCGGCGGGGGCGCGGGGGGCTCGAACTTGCGCGTGTCGGGGTTGTACGCTGGGTGCTTGAACTTGCAGTGCGTGCGCAGGTTGTCGGAGCGCGTGTACGTGGCACGGCACAGCGGGCACTCGAACCGTCCCGGGAAGTGCACATGGTAGTGGTTGCGGATGTGGGTCACCACCTTGCCACACAGCTTGCAGCGGTGCAGGTTCAGCGCCCCCGCCACGCGCTCGAACGTCAGCCGCATGTGCCAGCCCTTCGAGCCTGCAACCACCAACCACCCCGCTCACTCTCTCGCTACGAGCTACCGCCGCGGCGATCCGCCCTTCGCGTCCCAAGGCGTATATCGCTATCACACGACAACGCCGCAGTGCCAACTCTACCCGCGTCACGACTATAGTCTGTGCATTTAACGATCGAGTCTTTTTCTATATTAACCAGTTGGTTCTGCAGCGATTGCTATGTAGTGCGATTCGATCCAAGGATACGGACTAGTTTCAAAAAGATACAGCGACTTTAAACAATACTTTATATAAATAATATACATATTCAGCACTAGTCAAAGCTTCAATATAGACTGTTAACGCTGTACTAATGCTGTCCTAACTCTATTATGTAGTAAGCTTTAATAAATATATACAAATAATTGAAGAAGATTCGACATGATTATACTTAACGAAATCATAATAATATATTGAATGGATAATCCATGCACAAATGATTCAATGATATTGAAGAAAATGGTGTTTGTTATTGATTGTTATAGTAAACGCATGATGTTCTGTTAAATACTGTCACCAAGCCTGTACACAAGAGGTGATCCGTAGAGAGAAATAGGTCTGCCATATAAATAAACCAAGCTAGGGAAGAGGATGAAAATGAAAAGAAAAATAGGTATAAATAAAGGAATATATTTGCAACAAACACACAGTAACGATAAAATTACATAAGAATCAAATTAAAAGTCCATGTTTAAAGTAAAGAGAATTAAACTAAAATTAAGAAATATGTCCTTAATTACATAATGAAAAATCAGTCTTGGCACTAGCAGGAGGCTAGTTACGCACGATTATATCTACAAGGAACATCGAGCAAGAGATCACGAGATTCGTTTGTACACTGTTCAGGGGCGGATGACGATAAACATATCAAGCGATTCGCGTAATTTCGATAGCAACATCAAGCTCGCGGATGTGGGATTATGTACAGTTAATCGAAATAAAGGTTTGCAGTAGCGAGCGCCGCGAAAGTGTCACGGGATACGGGACCGCTTAATGCTCTCATGCAAGCGGTATTTGCACCGTCACAAACTGTACATAGTTATCATTTCTGAGTATTTCTAATTTACGTACTTTAATTCTAGATTGTTTGTGTTTGAGATAATTACAAAAAAGTGAGAGAAAAAAAGTAATTCATAATAATCGTTGACATGTTTGGAGAGTTTAATCCGGCCCATGAACAAGCAGTTAAATAAGTACATAATACAATAATTTAAACATAGTTATCGATAACAGCCTAAACACAAGTTAAATTTTATAGTTAATCACATTATGCCTAGAACTTAAATTTTGAACAAAAATTAATGTGTGTTAAAAGTAAAAGCGAAAATCGGGGCAGAACTTTTAATTATTAGTCGACATCGAATGTAGTTGCTTCGTAATCCAAGTTAACAAAATAATGTTTTTAAACTTTAAGTATTAAGTATGTGTAGTATATGGTTGGTATTAGTCGTGAATTTCGCTTTTACTTAGTTAATTTTAAATTACTAAAATGTAAAATTTATTCAAATTAAACACACCACACCTTATACTAAATTACAAAATGGTAATTGTTAGAACCAATGAGTAAGCGCACTTGTGTTAGATTCTGATAAAGTTAGTGCATAAGAAAATTATTGTCAAGCTTAGAATAATATCGTAAACGAATTAAACTATTGTCACCCAAAGTTTTCTCCCAAGTTAAGAATTCAAGAAAGATAAAGCAAAAATGCCAGTAAACCAAATGGCGTATTTGTTTTCTACACTATCGGCTACGAGGATTCACATTTTGTCTGAATGTTGGATAAGTTATTAGCACCGAGAACGGAACAGTGTTTCATGCGCAGGTGTCTCTTTAGGTTGTCCGCCCGGGTCAGTACGATGGGGCACAAAGGACACTTGTGCTGTTCCGGGTTGTGCGACTTCATGTGTTTCTTTATATTGGTCACGAGTTTTCCGCACACGTTGCATGGCCACGGAGTTCCGTGCGGTCTTTGGTTCAAAGCTAACTTATACGATCTAACTAATGATTCGATATTCGTTAATTTGTGGCAGAGAGGCTCCTGTGGTATACTATTCTCGTCAACACCATTGTTTTCACCTGCAAGATATGTAACTCCTTCATTGCTCTTACACTGATTATTTTTTTACGCTATCTATGACGTCACACATCAATCGTTGAATTGTCGAATGTTTCGTTCACACTTAACCCGCAAAACCACAACCCATCATTTCATTTCATACATGCAAGTCGTGAAGCATATTGCTCGTTCAATTCATTAGGTTCTTCAAACAACTGTAATGTTACAAGCACTACCTTCTGAATAATAGATAAAATTTTGGTACGTACTGAATATGTTACAAGGCTAATCGATGTCGAGGTTTCGTTACCTATTGTTCAAATTAAAATAATGAAATACACACTACATGTGGATATTGCACTTTTGCCTCTCGGGGGGCGCCAAATCATCACCTGACGTAACCATTACACCGATTTCTTCACGTCGTTATATAGAAAGTCTACAAGCGTAATGAAAAATATAAGCGGCAATGGTAGTGTTTATTGCAAATTAGAGTGGGATGATAAGCAAATGTATCGCATGCGCTGAAGTGCCAGACATGCATCCAGTGACCAAATGCTAAAAGTGTCTATGACAGTTCTAGGGATCGATTTATAAAATCGCCAATCGTAAAAGAAGTCCTTTGGCATTCCTAGACATTTTTAACACATAAATGCAAATCATAATGATACAACACGGTTTTCGTTCCAAGCAACAATAAATCTTTACCAATTTTAGAAGACGTATTAGTTTAAATTCTTTAAAACTTTTTATTAAATGAACTAATATTTATCATGTTATCAAAACGCGTTATTTGTGTTAAAAAACAAGTTTTTGTAGGTTAATGTTCAATAACTGGATAAATTTTGCATAAAATACGATATTGATCTCAATTCAAAGAACAAATAAATAAAGATTTATTGCAATTTTACAAATTCTATGATCACTAACTTAAATCATTCTTAAGTAGACATTCTAATTGCCCAGCCAGCTAGGGTACACTCAAAAGATGAATTTTTCTTTAGGTTAGTGGTCGTTTGAATATAACAAAAAAAGAAAAAGACTCACCGTCGATGGTGTCTGTCTGGTCCGGTTGTGGTTGCAGGATGGGTTCACTGTCGTTGCAATCATTCCCGAGCGAGTGCTGGTTTAGCATCGTGGCCATCTCGGTCATTCCCATTGGCTGAAAAATGGCAAGTTTTTGTGTTAACTTACCGTAATATTTAAGACTGGTTTTAGTGAATACGCAGACTTTTATATAGCGTAAAAATTATGTTGACGACATTTTTGGGATTTAAAACAACGAATGCATGAAAAACAATGGATATTTTTTGTTGTAATTATTTATTAGCACTTTTGAAAATAATTATTAAGTTCAGAAATAATGAAATGCATCTGCTTGCCATCTACTTTTCGTACTATTTCCTGTCCCAAACAGAAACGTCATAAACTTTTCAATCTAAAGATAACTAGTAATAAATAAAGTCACGAGCACTGACGATGGCCAGAGTCACAGCCGCTAATGAATGAACAATTTTCATTCAAATTTAAGTGATTGTTATAATATAAATTTAAAAAATTACAATGTTTAGTTGAGTTTCTCATTAAGTTCTTATGTTTATTTTTACAATGTTCAATGTTTTCTCATTTGCTTATATTTCATTAAGGCACAACATATAGAAATTGATTTTTAGAATGTACGTTAAAAACTATTAATTCTATTTATTAAGACAAGTACGGGGACTGTTTGAAATATCACATTTTCAAGTTACTAAATATCGATTAGGCATTGAAATTTAGTCAAAATATTCTAAAATTATTTATGGTTTGTTTAGTTCACTGTCACTACATGTCTTTTCATTCATGGACGCTTTCAAGCTCTGCGAGTGTTCACGGTCATGGCAAAATTTATGCGCCTTACACTTATCGTGATGGTTTACAATTTCCAGCTTGAAGTTAGCATTGCCTTCAATGAATGACGTTTTATTCACGGTCAACTCTTGTGACCATTTTCGGCAATATGTACAGAACATTATATGCTGATTTTTATCGTACTGTAACCAAGGGTACAGTGCTAGCTAGCTGGGTCGAAATTGGCCGCCTTTTTTCACGTTATTCGGAGATTGTTTTGGTTGCATTGAAGAAAGATTCATTTGTTGAGGCGGTTGCACAATGATAAGATCCAATGGGGCAACTACGTTGGGTTCTATACATTCTTCCCAGTCGACCCCGGGAGGCCAGATCTGGTGGTGATCTGCTGACAACGAAGGAAAGGATCTGCTTTATAACCAATTACGCGTACTACCCGACTCCATTTTTTTAAAGGCAGATCCCTTCCTTCCCGTCGACAGGATTTTAACATATTTCGAAGTGCAATGTTAATAGAAAGCGATTGAAAAATTAAATTACAAAATTAGGGCAGAAGAAAAAGATGGTCTTTATGTCGACAAAACAAGTGGGTAAAAACTAAGGTGTCATAAAATACTTACGCTACGACTTACCGCTACGCTGCTGTCGATTGAAGAGTTGAGACATGGGAGAGAAACGAGACACACGGCACGCAGAAGCAACGAATGTGAGAAGGGTAGTTACCGGCAGGTGCGTCTGGTCGTAGTGCGAGGGCGGGTGGTTGGGGTGCGCGGGCGGCGCGTAGGGCGCGTCGGGCTCCTGCTTCACGAGCGGCGTGTGCGCGGGCGAGCGCGCGGCGCGCACCGGCGTGTGCGCTGGCGGCGGCGTCGACGGCTCCGACCCCGAGCCCGTCGACCCGCCCTTCACGGACTTCACGAAGTGACACTGCAATTGGAGCGCCGTTCAGTTTCTGTTCTCGGAAGGCTTCGGGTGGACTACTTTTGGTACTTTCGATTTGGAGTAATCAAATTTGCTAGTTCGAACAGCCTACAATTTAACTTACGATTCTAGGTTCTAGAAAAAAATAAGGAAAAGGCGAAAAGTAAAGTGTTCCTGTGCTTCGGCCCAGTCGCACGGAAAAGCTCTTGCAAAGGTTGGAGCGTAACGCCCTTTGGCGTGCATCAGAGCCCGGCAATGTGTTACCTCGTAGTGGCGATAAGACAGATCATCGTCGCGGGGTACGGCGGAGTTCTTCCTGCGGCGCTTCTCGGGCGGGACGGCCAACGGGTGTGCGGCCGGAGCGGGATGCGCGGGAGCGTGCGAAGGCAGCGGCGTCGCCGGCCCGTGCGCCGCGGGCGGCGTCGCGAACGCCTCCCCGCGCGACGACAGGTTCTCGGCGCTCGCGCCTGGCGTCGACCGCTCCTCCGACTGCCGATGTCAAATCCACATTGGGCTTTACCCGGAACAACGATTACGAAGTCCTCAACTACGATTCAAATTTCTTATCTCCTATAAATATAAGTTCTCATAAATCTTACTGTTCATACTTTTCCAGTAAAATTAAATCGAAAACATTTCGTGTATTTTAGGTATATATGGAACTACCAGTTCTGGGCGTGAAAAATATTCATTGCTACATTATACTTCAGAAGGGTCATTGAGCCATCGTCGCCCAAAGGTCAAGGTCGTCCATTTTAATTTTAAACAATACAAAAGTGAAGCAACTAAAAAAAAAATCTGAATTGTACATACATAGAATTACAGTGATTTGAAAATTAGAGTAATAATATGTGCTGTAATAATATGTAATATTCCTTTGCTAAGAATTTAAGAAATAACATATAAAATTACCTTAGGATTTAATGTATTGTTTTCTGTCAAACCTCTAACTTGTAAGCTTTCAGCAGTTTTTAGGAACATCGGTAGCATATTTTGGCCAACATTCACCTCACCCTGAAATATGAAAAATTATTCTATTATCAAATACGTGTAGGAGTTTGTATTGAATCAATATAAGAAACACGTTATTAAAAGATCAAAATGTAATTTATGTGTGCCTACCTTATACATGAAGTCCAATAAAGACTTCATCTCTGAGAACCTTACATCTTTGAGGAAAATTATAGGATGCGGATGTGAGTTCTGCAGGAATATACTTTCAAAGTAAGGGGAACACGCCGATAGTATAGTCTGATGTGCCTAGAACAACACCAAAGGGCAATTTTAAAATAACCCCAGCACTTCAAAACAAAAGAAATGATGCACAGCTATAATCTTTCAAGGTCTTTTCTATTAGGTATAGTTAGTAACAGTGCATACAAGCATTTTGGCAGATCTATTCTTATTTTAATTAGGTAGTACTTTTGTCTTCGTAGCAAATATATCGCGCGTCACGCTTTACTTAGGTTTATTTTTAATTCTTTTAAATGTAGGACATTTAAATATTGCTTCAGGTTATTTTGTTATTCAGTAAAGTATGTTTCTAAAGTTTTTAAAACTGACTTTATATATTAAAGTATGAATTAACATAAATGCTTCCACATAAGCCACAATACCGAAGCGATTTGAAAATGTTAAACAAGTAAGTTTTAATTCAGTTCTCTATAAATATCCATGCCGCGAAGAGGTCCTATACAAATACATTAAATTGGCTGCCTGGCTGAACCCTAAAAAGCGCCGTAAAACGGCTGCAACAAAAATTAGAAAGTTTAAAAATCATGCAGCTCTTCTGTCCTTATCTATGGTTGCTTTCGACCTACAAAACAACTGCATTTTATTAGTGTTAAACTTTTCAATTTTCTTATTGGTGAATAGTTTAAAAGCTTGACCAGTAACAATAATGTTAGTTAGTATTATAGAAATTGTAATTGTATTGTAGTATAAAATAATCAAAGTTATTACTTTGAGTATTTCATAGAACAATTTTAAAAAGTTAAATATAAAAAGTTCACATTTTAACACAGATAGTACCAAATCTAATCTATAAAAATCTAAGCACTACAAAAAATATCACTAGGTAGTTAAATATACAACCTTGTAAAATTTGCAAATATTTAAATGTTTTAAATTGTAGCTTACCTTAGTTAATATGAACATAGACAACTATGATGAATGAAATTCAAACTTAATTTTCTGGAGTAAAATCCAATTCATTGCAATTGTTGTTTAATACTATTGTGGACTATGTACAAACAATAAAAGGTTTTTTTGTATGTAACATATAAAAGCTGTCACAATAGGAATTGGAAGTCAAGGAACGGATTATTAATCATAATTGTTTTATTGATTGTGTTTACTTAAAATAATGTATTAGTATGAATGGGATTAAACTAATATTAGTTCTTTTACTAATTATGTAATTGGTAAATATTATTATTATCTCCTTTATTGCGGCCACTAGGCTTGTGCCAGTGTCGGTTTTATAAGAATAATTTAAAAATTATGGCGATCATCACCAGTGGCAGTAGTTATGAATTTACACTGAGAAAAAAACTATCAATGAAAGGCTTTATATGCACCAATGCGTCATGTTATTACTTTCTTATTTGAGCTAAGAATGATTTAAAACATACATCCCTTTCAGAAATTAAAATATGTTAATATAAAAAAAATATATAGGATATATGGATATACTTCAATTTTTAAAAGAGCTCCACAATAAGAATTTTTCAGAAAATTTTTAGGTATATATATTTTTTGTTTTGGGCATTTTAAACATCCAAATAAATCAATGATTCAATTATTTGTATATAATATTATTATATATTATTTGACAATAGGTACTCATACCTGTTTAGTATTCAAACAAAGTGAATATAGTTTGTATGTTTATTGCAGTTAGATATATGAAATAAACTAAGTACATTCCTATTCATGTTATTAAAAAAAGAAAATAAAAGAACATTTGTTAACTTTTCAACACTGTAAGTAATTTGTAGTATATTTCATCAAGATACTACCTAATTGATTCATAATGATAGTGTCAACAAATTGTTTATGAATAATGCTACTACTTATTGCATTTGTTACTCATTATTGTTTACTACAGTATTCAGTTTGTTATGGCACAACAACAAACAAATCAAGCAACATGTCCATTATTTATATTTACTTCCTGTATTGTGAATTATGACATAACTGTAAATAACTTTGTGAATAATGTATTTTTGTTAATAAAAGTAACCACAACTGCAACCTTCTGAAAGCTATAAGTTCTTTTCAAAAGCCAATTTACAGCTTCGTATGACATTAACTCATAATTTAAGAAAGAAGAGAATGAACAATCATAAATCACATGAGAATTAAAAAAAAACTAGTGTGTGCCCAAAATAAAACAGTTTTCTTTGTACAACAACAATCAATTTGAAAGACTCATTTGAACAACTGTTTTACACACCTGCTGCTATGGCTGAGGAAACATTTTTTTCATATTGTTAAAGGGCTAAATGTACATTACAATTTTGGAGATGTTTGCAAAAACCAAGAATAGTAAAATATATTTTGGATGTCTACCAATATTTTAAGATTAACTGTTATTGCACACAAATTCATAGTCTATTGGTATATCAAAATTGCAAAGAGTAGTTAAGCATATTTACTGTATAAGAGTAACTGTTATTTTATTCAAAAATCCATAAAACATGTCAATTTTGAGACTGCAATAAATAATAGTTTGTACAGTGATAATGTTATAGATGGTTAGATAAGAAATGAGGATGAGTTACCTTGACTGTCTCCCCATCACAGGCCAGCGTAACATCGCAGAGAGCTTCCCGCTGCAGCAGGCTTGCAAGCACATCAGTCAGGTTGTTTGGATGATTGTTCCAGCGCAAGCAGAACTGCTGGTCCATTATTGGTGCTAGTGTCAATGACCGTGCTGCAAACAACATGCTTCTATAAGATTACACACTTATTACAAGCTTCATTAAAAAAATCTCAAGTAACACTTCTTACACCTTCTGAAAACATTGACGAACTAGATACAGTTGGAAAATCTAAACTAACATTACCCAGAAATTAAACAAACGGTAATTAGAGACGTGCGCCGGTTATCAAATTTGTACTGAGATACCTACTAGGTATATGCAAAAAATTGGCGGCCATAGGGCCTAGATAGGAGAGAGATAAGTGACATCAGCGGCTCGAATTAATGGGGGCCGCGGCCGCGGGCAGCGAGCTTACTGTACTCCACATTGACAGTTAGCCCGCCGACACATATCTACTTGTTGCATGTTCCAAACGAGACCCATACATTATGTAATTTAGCTCCTGAAGACGGGCCGCGCGGCCACCGACCCTACGGGACGCGGAAGCCTCTAGCCGCTTCTATAAACGAGTTTAAAAAAGTAGTACCGCTCGCCAAAAAAATCGCAACATGCTGACACCGTTATAATCGCCAAGCTGGATGGCCCAGTTGCAATCTCCACACGCTAGATTTTAGAAATTTCAGAATGTACCACTATTTGTTGTTATCACATATCACGCCGCGTGCCTAGATTTTGGCAACCGAAGATATACGGGATTTCTAAGCGCGTAGTTGTGTCAACTTTGGCTATTCGTAGCGCCATTTGCAGATCCCGTATCGCAGAATCTGAGAATTTTATTACCAATCAACACCAAATTTTCGTATTTTGCACTACTAATTCACTATCACTAATATTTATCAACCTTTAGACACACAATAACTCAATATTTCCTAACTCACCATTTGCAAAAATTTTGCCATCACAAACGCCACCCGACCCCTACCTTGCACTGTCTTTTTGACCACACACACATCTCGATTTCCGTGTTCACTCACGGCCTTCGGAATATCTTTCACATCATAATCGGCCAGTATTCGCAACGCGAACTTCACACGCTTCTCCCTACGTGGCGGTAAATTCAAATTTTGCAATTATACGATTTTCTTTTATTTACATTAATTGCACCTGAATTTTCGTTTTGCTATGTATTAATCAAGACAAGCAAAGATATAATGACTATCATCAAATTTAGCTTCATATTTAGCTAAAATTAAGTGTTTTTAAGGATTTCTATCAAGTCACAGATAATGCACTAGTGAGGTTAGGTTATATTGCTAAAATGTAACACGCGCTTTTTGACAGAACGTGCATTGAAACTGTTAAAACACACGTTAAAAATGTTTGTTTCAGTTTAAGTCATGCTGTGTTTTAATCAAAGCATGATTTTGATTAAAAGGGATTGATAGATAACATTGGCCTTGACATTAGGTTTACAAAAATTTGCAACTTGACACATAGCGCCATCTATAGGCATCTTTAAGCAGATTCAGTCTTTGAATAATACACTAGATGACGCTGCAATATCGTATCCAAGCAGTTCTCAACTATAGCAAAGGACAATGACCCCTTTTGTTGGCATATTTTTTACACTGCAATTTCTATGCTATTTTTATCATTCGTGTTAAATTATTACAATTAACCGGTAACTATAACAATCGAAGCTCTGTTTTATCTGAGCGTACTAAGATATTTAGTAGGTTGTATATAAATAATAGCAATATACACACACACCTGTACACTTTCTAGCTCTACAAACATACCGTCTTGATCTTGTTTTTGAATTCTAAGAATTTATTAGTACTGTGCAGCCTTGTCCAGCATATAAGTGGCATTTTATAAATTATGAATTCCTTCATATATTTCTAAAAGCTGAATATGATATTCGTGGCTGTAAAGCTTGCTTTGAGGCATACGGTTACAGAGTAATTATATATACAAGGTACTTACTTAGCTATAACATTCTTTTTTGCCAAAACGAAGTCATGATTGCGTAGGAAGGCAACCTATAAAATCGGGCACTGATATTTAGAGGTAACAGGTAGGTACGTGGCTAGTTACGTAAACAACAATTAAGTACTTAATTACCTATTTATATTTTAAATGTTCCGTTATGTTGCATATGAGTTGACTTCATGTACATTTCGTACTTTCAAGATATCTATCTATTATATTAAACTCAAACTAAAATAGTAAACTTGCCTCTTACTAAATTAATATACATATGTACGTGATATATATATATATATATATATATATATATATATATATATATATATATA